TGACGTTAATGCAATCTATCTATCGAATTTATTCAGATTTCCCCACTTTGATTTGCACTCATTGGCGTGTATATGCTCTCATCCCATACAATTTCGTTACCTGTGCATGTTCACATATCCACCAGTCCAGATACTAAACAGTTCCAGCACCACACAAATACTTCACATTGCCCTTTCACAACTCATCTACCTCCCTCCCTCAGACCCCTGAAATCTTTAATGCTCCTTTAAACACCTTATTATAGTCTATTTAAAATTGAGGTAGAATTCATATGCTATAAGAAATCACTGTCTTAAAGTGCATTTTGGTAGGTTTCAGCATTCACAAGATCGTACAACTGTCAGCACTATCTAATTCCAGAACATTTTCACTGTAGAGAAAGCCCTGTGCTAGTCAGCAGTTACTCACCATGTCTTTTCCTCTCAGCCAGTAGCAACTACTATTCTACTTTCTGTCTGTAGATTGACCTATTTTGGACATTTCAAATAAATGGGATCATATGATATGTGGCCTTTTCTAGCATTATGATGTTTTCAAGGTTCATCCATGTTGTAGCATAAATGGGACCTTCATTCTTTTTTATGGCTAAATAATATTCCGTTCTATGGATAGACGACCTTTGTTTATCTGTTCATTAGCTGACAGGTATTTAGGTTGTTTTTAGTCTTTGTTATGAACAATGATGCTAAAAACAATGTTTAAGTTTTTATGTGGACATATGCTTTCAGTTCTTGTCAATTTTTCTTTAGAAGGAGAATTGCTCTGCTCAGTGAGTTTGGTAACCTATATGTTTAACTTTCTGAACAATTGCCCAATTGTTTTCCACAGCAGCTACACTATTTTATATCCCCACCAAAAATTTAGACGTTTCCATTTTCTCTGCATTCTCTCTAATACTAGTTATTTTCCATTTTGCTTTTTTTTTTAATAGCTAATCTCTTGGGTGAAGTAATATCTCAGTGTGGCTTTGATTTGCATTTCTGAATGATGTAGAGCACTCATTTCATTTTGCTTATTGGTCATTTATATATCTTTACTGGCAAAATGTATATTCAGATCCTTTTATGTTTATTGGGCTGATTATCTTTTTGCTGTTGAATTGTAAGAGTTCTTTATATATTCTGGAAACTAGACGCCCTTTTCTCCTATTTGTGTATTGTCTTTCAGCTTTTTTGCTAGTGCCTTTTGGTGAAGTCTGATGTATCTTTATCTTTGGTTGCTTGTGCTTTTGCTGTCATACCTAAGAAAGTGTTACTTACTCTAAAGTCATGAAGATTTACATCTAAAACTGAGGTACATCTAACTGAGTTAGCCCTTAAGTTCAGGTCTTTGATTCATTTTAATTTTTAAATTTTGTATGCAATGAGAGGTTGGAGAGGTTTACTTACTCTTTTGCATGTGCAAATGTAGTTGTCCCAGCACCATTTGTCAAAAGGACTGCATTTTCCCTACAGAATGGTCTTCCTAGTCTCTTCCAAAATCAAGTGACTATGAATTTGAATTTTTTTCTAGATTTCTCCATTTTATCCTATTGATCTGTATGTTTATCCTTAATCCAGTACACATTGTTTTGATTTCTGTAGCTGTGTAGTAAGCTTTAATATCAGTGTCAGTCCTCTTCTTTTTCAAGATTGTTTAGATATTCTCTGAATCACTTGAATTATATGACTTTAGGATCAGTTAATTTCTACAAAAAAGGACAGTGGGAATTTTGAATAGTGTTTGTATTGAATCAAGATAAGTTTGGAGATTATTGCCATCTTAACAATATTAAGTCTCCCAATGAATGAAAATGGATGTCTGTCCATTAATTTGGGTCTTTAATTTTTTTTCAATGATGTTTTATAGTTTTCAGTATTCATGTCTTAAATTTATTTCTAAGTATTATCTTTGGTCTATTATAAATGGAATTGTTTTAATTTCATTTTTGGATTGTGTATTGTTAGTATATAGAAATAGTTTTTGTATATTGAACTTTTATTCTGCAACCTTACCAAACTTGTTTGTTAGCTCTAATAGATTCCTTAAGGTTTTATTTTTAGATGGCATGATTTTATATATACAAAAGTTTTAGTTCTTCCTTTCCAATCTAAATGCCATTTGTTTCTTTTTGTTTAATTATCTTGGCTCGAACTCTAGTACAATGTTGAATAGAAGTACCAAGAGCAGTCATGCCTATCTTGCTCCTGATTTTAGGGGAGAAAGCTTTCAGTCCTTAACCATTAATTATGATAAGAGCCATGGCTTTTTTTGGAGATATCCTTTATCAGGTTGAAGAAGTTCCTTTCTGTTTTGCGTTTGAGTGCCTGTATCATGAAAGGATTTTGGGTTTTGTCAGATGTTTTTCCTGTATTAATTAAATTGGCATTGTTTGTTTTTTCTGTTCTTTTATTAATATAGTATATTGCATTAATTGATTTCCATATGTTGAACCAACATTGCCTACCTGGAATAAATCCCACTTGGTCACGGTATATAATCTTTTTTATGTGCTGCTGGGCTTAGTTTACTAACGTTTTATTGAGGTTTTTTTGCATATGTATTCACAAGAGACATTGGTCTGTAGTTTTTTGTGGTCTTTGCCTGGTTTGGGTATTAGGGTAATATTGTCTGCATAGAATGATGAGGAAGTGTTCCCTTCTCTTCATTTTTTGGGAAGAGTTCGTGGAGGAATTACATTAATTTTTCTTTAAACATTTGTTAAAATTCATCAGTGAAGCCATTTGGATTTAACTTTTAGTTCTGGTAAGTTTTTTGATTACTACTTCAGTCTCTTTATTTGGTAGAAGTCTTAATCATATTGTTTGTTTCTTCAGTCAGTTGAAGTCTTCTCTCTTTTTTTTCTTTGCCATTTTTGTTGACTCTGTCAGAGAACCAATTTTTTGTTTCATTGATCCCCTCCATTGTTTTTCTATTTAGCTCTGCTCTAATTTTCTTTTCTGCCCTAATTTTTCTTATTTCCTTCCTTCTGTCTGCTTTGGGTATAGTTTCCATTTCTTTCTCCAGTTTCTGAAGGTGTAAATTTAGATTATTGATTTGGGATCTTTCTTCTTTTTAAGTGTTAGGTATTCACAGCTATAAATCACTCTGTGAACACTTTCTTTGCCATATCCCATAAGTTTTGGTATGTTGTGTTTGTTTTCATTTGTCTCAAAGTAGTTACTTTCCTTGGTTATTTTTCTTGGACCTTCTGCTGTTCAGTTCTCACAAATTTGTGAATTGCCCAATTTTCCTTCTCTTACAAATTTCCAATTTTATTCTGTGTGGCCAGAAAACATACTTTATATAAGTTTCAGTATTTTTATATTTATTAAGACATGTTTTAGGGCCTAATACATGGTCTGTCCTAGAAAGTATTCTGTGTGCACTTGAGAAAAATAAGTAGTTTCCTGTTGTTGAATTAAATGTTCTCTGTATAGATGTCTGTTAGGTCTATTGGATTATAGTGTTAATTCAAGTCTTCTATTCCCTTGCTGATCTTACATGTAGTATTCATTATTGAAAGTAGGATATAGAAATAACTATTGATTTTTTTTCTCTTTTCATTTCTGCCAGTTTTTGCTTCATGTATTTGGGAGCTCTGTTGTTAAGTACTTATGTGTTCATAATTTTTATATCTTCTTGATGTATTAACTTTTCTTGTAAATTGTCCTTCTTTGTATTTAATGAGAATTTTTTGTTTAAAGTCTAATTTTCTTCTAAACTTGGTATGGCTATTGTAGCTCTCTTTTGGTTACAATTTACATGGTATATCTTTTTCCATCCTTCCATTTTCAACTTACTTTCATCTTTGACTCTAAAGTGAATCTTTTTTGGACAGCATATAGTTAGATCATATTTTTTTTTTTATCCATTCTGCCAATTTCTGCTTTGTAATTGGAGAACTTACCGATAAGTGTGTGTTATACATATGGACACATTATGTGGTAAGCTCTTAATTAATGTTTATTGAATCTATGAATATTTGTTGAATGAGTGAACAAACAAATGGACATTCTCATGTAGGTCCATACAGTCAAAAATGTTAAATTATTATAGTACCAAATTTAGCAATGCGTATGTATATTTCAAACAGTGCATGTCAAGGGCAGGTGGCACTATGAGGAATGTTAGGGTATTTGAACATTAGAAAACCATACATGTAATGTGATTTATAGCAATAATAGATTGAAAGAGATTAACTATATGAAGACAGCAATGACCAGGAAGGAATTTCTTTTTTAAAATTCATTGCCCATTCAAGATTTGAAAAAAAAAAAAAAAATAACAATAAGAAAGAACTATAAACAAACTAGGAGTAGAAATGAACATCCTTGGTTTGACAAAATGTGCCTTTAAAACACAAAAGAAAAACATATGTTAATATTGGTTCTTCATGGAGAACTCTTAGAAGCTTTCCCTTTAAAGTTAGAAATGAGACAGGGTTGCCTACAATCCCCTCTTATATTTAGCATTGTATTGGTGTACTTAGCATTGAACTGGAAGAACCAGACAGTATAATAGGAAAAGAAAAAGAAATTAAGTCTTAAATCAGAGAAAAAAGAAAAAGCAGTATTCATTTGCTGATTCTGATTATTGTCTACAAAGAAAGTCCAAGACAGTCTATAAACAAACTTCTTTACAAGTCGACATTTTTCTAGAGAATTTACATTAGTGTCATAAAGACAAATTTTAAAATAGAGAAGTGATGTAATAGTCTTATCCAAAAGAAGATTCTTTTTTGGGACACCTGGGTGGCTCAGTCGTTGAGCGTCTGCCTTTGGCTCAGGTGGTGATCCCAGGGTCCTGGGATTGAGCCCCATATCGGGCTCCCTGCTCAATGGGAAGCCTGCTTCTCCCCCTCCCACTCCCCCTGCTTGTGTTCTCTCTCTCTGTCTCAAATAAATAAATAAAATCTTAAAAAAAAAAAAAGGATTCTTTTTAGTAGTTGCATTTTAAAGTGTACTTAAGAATTTTTGAATAATTTTTATAATCAAGTTATATTTTTTTTTTCCTGTAGAGCTACAGAGACTTCTGATGAAGTGGAGAGCCTGCGACCGCCTCGATTCTTTAATGAGGATGGAGTTATCAGACCTTACAGGTTGAGGGATGGGACTGGAAACCAGATGTTACAGGTGGGTGAAGAAATATCTTACACATTAAGATTAATTTAGTCAAGTTCACTTTATTAAAAGTAGTTAAATAATATTTCAAATATATGTTAGATTGGGTTTTTATATGTTTTACTTAATTCTGTTTATGTTTCTTATATTTACTTAGGTTTTAATGTACATTTATTTACTATAAGATCTTTTTTCTTTTTTACAGGCATCAAAAAGTTTGATATGAAAACAGTTAATGCATGACTTTGCAAGTGAAAGCCAACAGTAGATTTTAGTCTTAAAATTTACAAACTACGTACAGCTGTTTCAGTATTTTGAATACAAAGAAAAGCTTTTGTATTGGTAACTTTTTGTATAGGATTTTAGTGAATCCGATCTTTTTATAGGTTATCCTTAGTTCTGTACTGGATTTGCTAGATTTGTTGAAAACCATTGTGCCTTATGTACCCTCATAGTTGGTGGTACTTATTTAACCAATTAAACCATTTCTGTTTAGGGGACTTCCTTCTGCATATCAAGCCACTAGTAGCTTTTACACAGTTCTCGTGTCCACTTGGGCATGATTAAGGAAAAAACCAGTACCATTGCTGTTGGCTAATTCTTGGGTTCTTAGGCTTTTCTTTTGAAGATACTCCACTGGCCTTGACCCTCTTCCTGCCTTATGCTTGTGTAGTCTATTTAAAATCTGTGGAATCTGATAAGCAGTGCACATGAAAGCCAACATCTTTTATTAAGGAAAATTAGATTTGAAACAAAAGACCATTTAAAAGGTAGAATATTTTATCTACAATAATAGATACTTTTCTTACTTTGAAAACTGGACTTTTTAAAATTTGGATTATGGTGTAGGTAACATACCATAATAGATCATACCAATTTAAAGTTATTTCATCTGTGGTTTAGATGTGGACTACTAAATTAAATCATTTGTTTGCAAACAGATAAGGAGTCATTATGTATATATAGACTTGAAAATATTTGTAGAAATAATAAACTGTGGGATATAGTCCTTCCTTTATAGCCTTGATATTTTAAATACTGTCATGTCTAAAATGATCATGGGAAATATTTAAAACTTCAATACTTTACCCACTACATGCAGAGTATATAATTTTGCATAAAATGTACTTCCATCTAATATAGTAAAACATAACCATTGAGATAATGTGTATTAGTAAAGTGACAGTGTATAAAATGTTTTTAAAGCATCAAAATAATTGCATATTGGGACAGAAGTGGTGATCTAGGGAGAGGTTGTGCTCTAAAAGGCATTTTGTGCAATCTCTACAATGACAGTATATCATTCTTCGGAAGATGGAAATGGTGCAGAAGTCACCCGTGGTTAATACAATTGAAAATAAACTATTCAATTCCTGCCTTCCCTTTTTAGGGAAGTAACATGTTACTTACATTAGTAGCTTATGTTAATAACATATTACTGACATTTTACTGGACTGAATATTAGATCACCTATTGAAAAACTAAAAATATTTCTTGAGAAACTTTTAATAAATTCAGTTAAGAAGTAAGGATGAGTAGTGAGGAGAATTTAGAAATACATCCTCACTATTAGGAGACAGATTATGATAAATAAGAAAGCCATGAGATACCAGAAATTTCTCTCAGTTGATAACTTGATTTAATGACAAGTAAATTTATTTTATACCTTCATTAATGGTTTGCTGAAGCTTTAAACTTTGGGATTTAAAGGCCATGACCTTTGACTGTGTGTTTTAAAGGTACATATTATTTTTGGTAGGCCAGTTTTAGTACTAACTGCTAAAAGAGCTATTTAAATGACTTAAACCTCACAATCCTTGTCAGCTATTTTACTTGTTTTTCAGCAAGAGTATTATTAAACACAATATTAGCTGGAATACCTATAGGAATTCACCAGAGGCCTTAGGATGATTGTGGTTAGCATTGTTCTCTTACGGGTATAAGAAGTAGGTTGTTGGTTTGGTGGTAATGGTGCTTTTTTAGTCAAAACTCTATTATTAGCAAATAGTTTACAATACATTAGTGCCAGTACTGTAGGAAAAAAAGCAGATGACGTAGAAACAGGATTTAAAATCTCATCTGGAGAGATTTAATCTAAGTGATTTAACATTGGTGCCTTAGAAAATGTTTAATACTTTAAATGTTTCTCCTTTTATTTTCTAATTCTCTAAAAAAAAAGGTACTCTGTGTTCAGTAAATTATATGGGCGTATATATAATTAAATATAAAATACACTCCTTGGTTGTATGCCTTTGTATCTAGAAAGAAGTACTGTATTATAGTGTCTCCTACTAGTCAATTCAAGTTACCTACTAGAGAAATAGAATAATAATTCTCATATATTCATGGAATACCTTACTGGTATCATCCAACTATTTTATCCATTGAGTGTACCAACCAGTAGGTTTAGTCTTAGGTCTATTAAGTTATGGAATATTATATCTGTAATTACTGCCCTACTCAGATCTGAACTCTGCCTTAAGATTATTCTGACTCCTTGAACATTTCACAATTTTACATGTTTTGCAAGCATTTTGCCATGCTTAACTAACCTTTGTGCTTCTTTTTTCCTCTACCATGCTTACAGAAAATTCAGGTCTACAGGGAGTGGATTATGACTCACAGTAGCAGTAGTGATGATGATGATGATGATGATGATGATGATGATGATGATGATGATGATGATTAGTCAGACCTGAAATGTTAAATTCATATGGTCTTTGTCATTTTATTTGGAATGTTTTATTAACATGTTTTGTATGACTGCTACCATAATGCCCGTATGTCCAGTTTTAGGGAATTACAATCTTTTTCCTTTTAAAATGTTTTTCTACGTATTTACAGAAAGCAAAGTAATTGCATTATTTAAGCACAGAAAAAATGTATTCTACATCTAAAGTTAGGGCATACTATAAATTCTAGCATTTGCTTACATATGTTTTGTAGCTTTGCAATGCAGAGTTTATCGTTAAGATTTAAAGTTAAACTTAATTATTTTTTAATGTTCACTAGTTTTATTTTCAATTATCTGCTTATTAGCAAAATGCCATTTTTAATATTCTCTGTAAATTTTCTGGGCTGTAATGTAATGCCATTGCGTAAAAAAAAAATAGTCACAGCTAGTCAATATTTTATATTTAGCATTTTAAAAGTATTTTTGTCAAATTTCTTTTAATAATAATAAACTTATATAACTTCAAGCAATATGAATTTGTTGTTCTATTCCAAAACCATATAGGTTGTACTGCTATTATAAGGAGCATTCATGATTTGTTACGGAAGTTTAGTCAATATTTTATATTTAGCATTTTAAAAGTATTTTTGTCAAATTTCTTTTAATAATAATAAACTTATATAACTTCAAGCAATATGAATTTGTTGTTCTATTCCAAAACCATATAGGTTGTACTGCTATTATAAGGAGCATTCATGATTTGTTACGGAAGTTAGTGACATAATTTATAGTCTTAGAATGAAAAAGGAAATTCTGTTCTTTGGTTCACTTTTTATTTCATTACATATGTATATATACAATGAACAAAGTTGGTTTTATAGTCATTATATTTACTTATTAACCTAAATATTCATATGCTAGATCCCTATTATAAAATATTAAAAATTAATTCAGGACATTAGAAGAATTTTTATAGTAAGCATAATTACGTATGTTTGTTCTTGGTTATATTGGAAAATATTATCAATGTCTCTGAAAGATCTATGAGCAGAACTGTTTTATTATGTTTTGTGCACTGAAGGGTTTTCTTTAATTTTCAATTTAGATAAAACTATTCTGTCCTGTTTCACTAGTAAGTTAGATATACCCAAAAAAAAAAAAATCCTCTAAAGAGTGAATGACTGTTAGTAATATGATGGGTTTTTTGGAAGTTTTTATTTAAATTCCAGTATAGTTAACATACAGTGTAAAACTAGTTTCAGGTATATGGTATAGTGATTCAACACTTACATACATCACCTGGTGCTCAACACAAGTGCTCTCCTTAATCCCCATCACCTGTTTTACTCCTCCCCCCACCACATACCTCCCCTCTGGTAACCACCAGTTTATTCTCTGTAGTTAAGAGTCTATTTCTTGGTTTGTGTGTGTGTGTGTCTCTCTTTTATAGTAATATGATGTTTAATCCCTATGACTGCTGTGCTTTGGGATCAACAAAGAAACATTTACCTTATTTATGTTAATCAGTTTATGTATATTGAGCTTATATGAATTAGATTTTAATAAATAACTGCCTTAATTGTTCAACTTTTGGCTTAATTGATTCAGCCCATGATTTCTGAGTCTAATTCTTAAGTTTACCAAGATTTTATTTCTATATATCAGTATTCTCTATTTCTTAGAAATGACTATTTTAATTTTTTAATATTGAGCTTACAGAAAAGGATGCTAAAAAGTATAAGACATTTCTTTTGAAATGTCTACCTGCCTAGCATTCATTTAAATTAAGTAGAAATCCAGGTTGTGTGTACTAGAACTAAGAAATATGTGAGTGCCAAAAAATGTGTTTTCATCAAAATAGTATTATCTTTTTGGAATAAGTAAATACATGAGAACAGTGACCATTGAAATAGTCATGACTGGGATCAGAGACTGGTATCTGGTCCCCACTGGTCTCTTTCACCCCTGGCCAAAATCATACAAAACCTACTCCTTCTACAAGAAGCTAGAAAGAACACAGCCTGTTGTTACATATTGTTGTATGCCTTAGGAAAGAGAGGTCTGGAAATGTCTTCATTGGCTTTTTACATTTCAACTAGACACGGGGCCTTTCTAAAAGGGAAAAATGCTAAACTTCTTGATTGCAAGGCATTTACTGAGTTTCCTGTGGTTGGTCTGTGACACTTAATGCTATGGTACAGTTTTCATAAAGATTTGTAAGAATTTATCTGGAAAAGTTCTGGATATTTCAGCATTGACTTGCCATTTTAATGCAAAGAAAATTTTAAGTAGGATTACATTTATTTAAAATCCCTTGAATAGTGAAATAATTTAAAAG